AATGGATAGGTTTGATCTTCTTGCAGTCCATGGGACTCTCAAGAGTCTCCTCCAGCACCATAATTCAAAAGCATCAATAATTAAACATTCAGAAGACTGTCACAGGAGGAAGTGTTGCCCGTTGAATAGAGTACCATAGTTCAGTGACAGAGTATCTGCTTTGCATGCAGAAAGTCCCAGGTTCGCTCCTCAATGGCATCTCCAGACACGACCGGGAAACTCCCCTTGTCCGAAAACACTGCAGAGAGCTGCTGCCAGTCAGTGCAGAGTAGACAATACTGAGCTAGAAGGACCAATGAGCTGACTCAGTATTAGGCAGCTTCTTGTGTGCCTTTTTAAAATAAGCCCTTTAATTCAAAACTATGGGGACTAAAATCTTGCTTTTTAAGGAAGGAGGCATAGCTCACTAGTGTAGCAACTTCTTTGCATGCAGAAGGCCTCAGGTTCAATCTGCAGCAACTTCAGGTAGGGCTGGAAATGCGCCCTTGTCTGAAACTGTGAAAAGCTGCTGCCAGTCAGAACAGAGCAGGCTTTCTCAAACTTGGCCATCCAGATGTTTTTGGCCTACAATTCCCTAGCTAAAAGGACCAGTGGTCAGGGATGATGGGAATTGTAGTCTCAAAACATCTGGAGGGCCGAGTTTGAGGCAGCCTGGAATAGAGGATACTGAGCTAGATGGACCAGTGGTCTTGTTCAGTATTAGTCAGCTTCCTATGTTCTTAAATATGAAGAACAGGAAGCACCATAAAGACCAACATGTTTATTGTGCCATAAACTTTTGTGGACTGGAGTCCACTGATCCAATAGAAAACATGCATGGTAATAAACATGTTATGTCTTCAAGATGTCAGAAGACTTTACTGTGTTGTTGTTACGTTGCAACACACCAACCCTCTGGAAATAGCTACAGTGAATGAAATTTAAGAGACAAGCACAGTTGTGAATCCATTGGGATGAAAACTAAACATTTCCACAGATTGAAAGGTTCAGTTTTTATCAGCAAAATACCCCAACATCACCTGTACCACCTTAAAAATAAATCAGTTTGAAGTCAAATGGGTTTTGTCCCATGTTAGTCCTACTCTGTGTAGACCCATTGAAATTTAGACATGACTAAGTTAAACTTCAATGGGTCTACTCTGAGTAGGACTTAGTGACATGCATGTCTATAAAAACATTTTAAATGGCACATGTTTTAAACAGCAATTAAGCCATCTCACAATATGATTGGAGGGAGCTCCGGCTCCACATTTAGGGAAAGAAAGATTTGCAACCCCAAAAACACAATCTGCAATGCGTCCTTACTTCCCAGCTCAAGGCCCAGCGGTAACACAAGAGCTGCAAAAGGTTAAACAGCTAGAAAGGTGTGAGAAGGGATTGTGTTTGCTTTAAATGACAGAAAGCACTCTCAATGAAATTGCAGCGGTTTAAGGTTCCCAGAGATTCAGTAAGGTGTCCAATTCTCTGCATCTATTCACAGCTGACGATCAAAAAACCAATTCCACCATCTAAAATACCATCGCTGCTTGGAATGGGGTGGGGGGGAATCGTACTCTCAACAGAGAAAGAGCTTTTTGCAAGCCTAGAGACAGACAGTATTTACACCATTGTTAATCTCATCAGATTGGTCCAGTTTAACCTTGCCTTGCCACAAGCAACAACGCTGTCTCTTATCATCAAAGGGACAAACAGAAGTCTAGTTGGGAAATAATTTGCAGAGTGTGAGAGAAATGATTTGCATGACAAAAACAAAGGAAGTGTGTGCCTGCAGAGAGCTGCTGCGGACTCCCTCCCCCCACTCACAAGCAGTGCCATTATACCCCCCACATTCCATTCCTCCCTGCTAACCCAGATTATGAGCCAAAGTGGGCAGCGGAGGACACAGCCTGGACAGCCAGAATCGCCCGCCAGATAAAAACACTGGCAGTCTCTCTATCTGGGGAGTAAGCAGGTTTTCTTTCCATCTCCAACATGATCAGGTTGCCCTATGGAATTTTTTCCTCACTGCCGGAAAAAGGAGGGAGGGGATTATACCAAAGCAAAACAAAGCAAGAGGGAGGGGGGCACTGCGGGCACTGTGTAAACATTCTCCCCGACCCTGTAGGACAGCATATATAGGGGGCACCTTTCTGTCACCTTCTAGAACCGATACATAAGCTTCCTCCATCTGTTCCATACGGCACCGTATAGGCTTGAAGGGATAGAAGCCCATCACCATCAAGGACACTGCTATTTCCTTCCCCATTTGCACACTGATCCAGATACACAGAGCATATGATTTGGGGACATGATTAAGCCTTGTTAAATCCCTATAGGGGAAAGGAGCTCAACATGCAGGAATGCAGGAGGGGGAACGGCATAGGGTGGTATAAAAGAGTCATCACTGGAGAAAAGAGTGATAGATGGACAACCTCAGAGATAGATTCATGGGCACAGGCGATTAAATTGTAAAACTACAGAGTGATGAAGGCTGTCCATCATCCCCTTTCCTGAGGGGGGAAATAGTGCCCCCACACACTAGAAAGATGTATCCTCTTAAAAGAGTGAAAAGGTAGGAGGAACGATCTTCCTAAGCCCCCCACCGCTTATCAAAAGATGCCCTTGCATGAAGGACTCCACACCTCCAAAGTCAGATATATGGAGGGAAACAATTCCTTTGGCAGGGTCCCGAATCTGAATCCTTCAAACACATGTGCCTTTCTGAGATGGTTTAAAACCAGGGGAGAGGAAGGAGGAATAGAGGAGGTAGAGAATAGCTTTTATACAGAATGTGGAAAGGCCAATGGTGGTCCAGAAAGTACATTTGGATGTAAGAGCGTAGGGTGGTGGACAGAATACTAATAATTAATAAGTACAGTGGGGAGGCAAACATTGGGGGGGGGCAGAGATGCAGGAAGTACAGGCCCCCTAAGAGGAAAGCTACAGGAAACAGCTTCAAAAGGACAGGCTGACAAATGCATGTTCGCCAAGCCATACTTAGAGCTGTCCCTGAAGTGGGGTGGGCAGTATAAGGTAAGTATCCTGTGCGTAGGAAGGTGCTGGTTTGGGGATCTGGGAGAGTGCTTTAGAAAGGGGAAGAGTAAAAGAAAATGGCAAGTGTCTGTATGAAAAAGGTATTTGTGGGTTTAGGAAGTTTGTGTATCTATGCGTGCTTAAGGTAGTGAAATAGACAAATATTGGGGTGGAGAGATTTACTGCTAATGGGATGTTGGTGTTTCCTATGTAAGTACTATGTTAAAAAGAGGGGAGGTATTCTGCTTAGAGGGGAGGAGGTGTTGCTATGAGGTGGGGAAGATGGGATGAAGTGGAAAGGGAATCAAATCCACCCACCCACCCCAAAAAAATACAAGAAAGTGAGTGCATGTATGGAAAAGAGAGTATTAGGTGTATTATGAAACAACAATGCTATATTCTTAATATAAGGAGGGATGTAGTACAGTAGGGTTACATCATTTATTAAATAATTGAATGTTATAATATCCTTGTTAATCAGGGACTATTAATGATGCACTGTATTATAATGGACAATATAAGTACAAGGATAAAATATTGCATTATCAAACAATGCAATATTAAGCACTATACTCTATTAGGTATTAATAGTTTTCTGGCTGAAGAGTGGAACCTAAGTACTTTAAATATATACTTTATAAATTATTCATTTTATTAATATATTTCTATTATTAAACAGCTGTGGAAGATTACATATAAAAGTATGAGTATGCCTATATCACTACTAAACAAAGCAATATTAAAATATCCTTATATTAATGGCTGCAATATTAACTTGTACATTCATACATATACATACATACACACACACAACCATTGTATTTATACATACAGTATTACATCAGATATTATATATTACACACCTAATCCTATACATATCCACTCAGAAGTACATTGCACTGACTTCCTTGGGGCTTAGGATGAATATCCATCTGAAACGCATACACACCTATGAAAGCATACTACAATAATAAAAATATATAACATTATCAAATCATGCAATATTTATACTATGCACTGTCAGACAACTGCACTTTACAGAAAAGGACCCTTAAAAAATATCTCCTAATACAAATGCAGCAAGAACTAATAAATAAGAACACTGGGTGATATTCACACAGGGTACACTCTTAGGAGACCCACTGAAATTAATGAACCTAAATTGCCCATGTTCACTAACTTCAACGGGTCTACTCCAAGTCGGACTAATGTGAAATGCCACCCGCTGTTATCATATTGTGTGCTGCAATAAGCATCCCAACACGGTTAAACAGACATCTTCCCATTAGGAATACAGAATGAGGCTAACAAATAATTACAATATTACATGTGCAAAAAAGGGGCCCAGTACTGTTTCAAGGCGGCTCTCCTAACGCAAATACAGCAAAACACAACACATGAATAAACCACCACCACCAATAAAACAAACAAGCCAACAAATCACGATATTGCACAGCGCGGTAAGTGACCCACAGTAGGTTCTAAAGAGCAATGCAATCGCAGCGCAGGCACAACAAACGAAGCAGCAGCATCACCTTCGTCGTACTTATTGATCCTTTCCATACCAATGCTACGTTATCATCATCATCATTATTGCAATGTCACTGCTGTCTATATTAGGGCAATGCAAATCTTTATATGCACATATACATGCGTGCATAAAAGCACGCATACCTGTATCTATCCGTATACAGAAAACGCGCGCACAAACACACATACGCGTCTATCTACATATGCTTATGGATAGACATTTCTGCAATAAAAAGGGAAAACGCAAGCACTGTTACGAAGGTCTCCTTGGCGTGCCTAAGGTGCTATCAGTTAAGTGCAACGCTAAGGCGTTATCCTCCTATGGCACTAACCGGGTGGGGTGGGGTGGCTGGAGACCTGGACACCCCAACCTATTTTTAAAAAAATTTATCACACACACACACACAATATTAATTGTTGTTTTCCTCCCCCACCCTCCCCTCCGCCTCCTGGCTCACCTCGGGCAGCGCGGACCCGTCCGCAGAGCAGCGCAGCCAGGAGGAGGCAGGCGGGCACCAGCCGGGAGGGCAGCATCTCTGCTAGGCCGGGAAGGCGCTTCTCCGCCTCGCCTCCTCCTCCTTCTCCTCCCCGGCGCCCCCCGACCGACCCCCCGTTGAGGGGGAGGGCAAAAAAAAAAGGGGCTCAAGGAAACGGGGGCGGGCGGGTATTAGCGATACTAATAACCACACATTAATAAATAATAGCAACGGTAGTAATAAATAAAAAGGGGGGTGTCCGGGGGCGGAAAATAAAAGGGAAGGAAGGAGAGGCAGCCGTTCCTCTCAGCCCAGCCTGGCCGCCGCGTCTTCTCTTCCTCCTCCTCCTCAGCCCGGCGCTGGCTCCGCTGGCTTGCGAACTAAGATGGCGGCCCGCTCCGCTCCCTTTCGCCGCTCCCTCCCGCACCGGTTGCCAGGCGACGGAGCGGGGGAAGGAACCAACTGGGAGGGGAAAGGAGGGTGGTGAGGCGGAGGGGGAGGAGATACCATCGGGCGGAGTGGGGGGGGGGAGAAGGCAGAGGCCGAAGGAGCAGCCTAAGCCGGGGAGAAGGGAATGGTAGGAGAAACCGTGATTCAACACACACACGCGCGCTGGAGGAGGAGAATAGAATCGTGGGTTTGTAGTGTTGGAAAGGATCCTGTGGGTCATCCATTCCAACCCCCTGCAATGCAGCAATCTCTGGGCCCAACGTGGAGCTCCCTTCCAGCTCTACATTTCCATGACTGGATGAATTATTTTGCTGGGAGATCTCAGGTGCAGGTGAAAAGCAAAAAAAAAAAAAGGCGTGGAGCTGAACTGCGGAACTATCTGCAGCAGGAGGCAGTGATGGCCGTTGGCCACCTGAACCAATAACTTTAGAAGAGAATTCATGGGGGGGGTCATAGCTGTCAGCTTTCAGATTTGACAATAAGGGATCAGCAGCGTCAAAAATAGGGGATCAGCAGCCTCACCTGTCCCGGGGACAGTCTACGGGATACCTAACAATCCGGCATAGCAGCAGGAATATAACAACAACAACAACAACAACAACAACAACAACAACAACAACAACAACAACAACAACTTATTTATACCCCGCCCATCTGGGGGAGCCTCCCCAGCCACTCTGGGCGGCTCCCAATCAAGTGTTAAAAACAATACAGCATTAAATATTAAAAACTTCCCTAAACAGGGCTGCCTTCAGATGTCTTTTAAAGAGAAGATAGCTGCTTATTTCCTTCACATCTGAAGGGAGGGCGTTCCACAGGGTGGGCGCCACTACCACGAAGGCCCTCTGTCTGGTTCCCTGTAACCTCACTTCTCGCAATGAGGGAACTACCAGAAGGCCCTCGGCACTGGATCTCAGTGTCCGGGCTGAACGATGGGGGTGGAGACGCTCCTTCAGGTATACAGGACCGCGGCCGTTTAGGGCTTTAAAGGTCAGCACCAACACTTTGAATTGTGCTCGGAAACATACTGGGAGCCAATGCAGATCTCTCAGGGCCGGTGTTATGTGGTCCCGGCAGCCACTCCCAGTCACCAGTCTAGCTGCCGCATTCTGGATTAATTGCAGTTTCTGGGTCACCTTCAAAGGTAGCCCCACGTAGAGCATGTTGCAGTAGTCCAAGCAGGAGATAACTAGAGCATGCACCACTCTGGCAAGACAGTCCACAGGCAGGTAGGGTCTCAGCCTGCATACCAGGTGGAGCTGGTAGACAGCCGCCCTGGACACAGAATTAACCTGCGCTTCCATGGACAGCTGTGAGTCCAAAATGACTCCCAGGCTGCACACCTGGTCCTTCAGGGGCACAGTTACCCCATTCAGGACCAGGGAGTCCCCCACACCCGTCCACCCCCTGTCCCCCAAAAACAGTACTTCTGTCTTGTCAGGATTCAACCTCAATCTGTTAGCTGCCATCCATCCTCCAACCGCCTCCAGGTACTCACATAAGGGAATTTCCCGCAAAAAGGGAAGGTTGACAGCTATGTGGGGGGTGAGGTTATTGATGGCTGATAGCTGCAGTGGCTAAGCTCTGCCCCCACAGCTGGAGGCAGTCGAGCTTCTGAATACCAGTTGCTGGAAGCTGCAAGAAGGGAGGGTGCTCTCGTGCTCGGGTCCCAGTTGCTAGTTCCCCACAGGCATAATATGGGTGGCCACTGTGAGAACAGGACCGCCAGCCTGACCCAGCAGGCTCTACAGGGTTGTTGTTGCTTTAAAAAGAGGCATTCACCCTGCCTCACCCCCTTCTTACATTAAAGTGGGCTTGCATCTGATGCTAGTCCTGCTCAGAGTAGACTCATTGAAGTTAATGGCATGTAGCCAATCTGTATCACCAGTGACGGGAGGAAGCGGGTGTATGGTTATTCTTACAACAATTACAAATAAATTGCGATCTTTGTATAGCCGATAAAAACGTGGAAAGCGGGGGGGGGGGAGAGAGACGCTGATGGGCATGGCCTAATTTAGGACCATTAGTTTCTATGGGTCTACTCTGAGTAGGATTTTAGTCGCAGACAACCCACTGTGAGTGCTGCCCCCCAACTGGAGAACCAAGGAACTGAGCTTCTGAGAATTTGGGAATCCAAACTTGGGACTTTGCATGTGTTATAAGAATTTAAAGGTCTCAAATATAGAATAGGTAAAGGTAAAGGTACCCCTGCCCGTACGGGCCAGTCTTACAGACTCTAGGGTTGTGCGCCCATCTCACTCAAGAGGCCGGGGGCCAGCGCTGTCCGGAGACACTTCCGGGTCACGTGGCCAGCATGACAAAGCTGCATCTGGCGAGCCAGCGCAGCACACGGAAACGCCGTTTACGTTCCCGCCAGTAAGCGGTCCCTATTTATCTACTTGCACCCGGGGGTGCTTTCGAACTGCTAGGTTGGCAGGCACTGGGACCAAGCAGCGGGAGCGCACCCCGCCGCGGGGATTCGAACCGCCGACCTTTCGATCGGCAAGCCCTAGGCGCTGAGGCTTTTACCCACAGCGCCACCCGCGTCCCTAAAATAAATATTCCTAAATGCACACATACCTAAATATATGAACCATGTGATAGTATGGGAGAGCACTCCTGGAGCCATTTTTACTCTCCCAATGACCTCAAATATTCCTCTGCAGTAAGGGAGTCAAATGGGGAAAGCCTTCCCATTGCCTCTTTGCTTGCAAATCCTGTCTTAAGGGCATATTTGTGTATGAATAGGGTGAGCCTGTGACCTGGATTCAGGAATTAAAGCATTACCATCACAAAAGAATGGCCAGAGTGCCCAGGTAATGCAATCAGTGACCATTATAAGGTATCCTGGCAGACAGGATTCCTGCTGGAGACCGGCTCCTTCTGTGATGTATGTATGATGATGTATGTATGTATGATGTTTTAGAGGAGTGGTCTTGGGATACAGGGTGGGCAATTTCAAAAATCTACATAAGGGCTTGCCACCATTGTTCAGGGTTCTCCTCCCTCCTGCATGTGGTGAGTGGGGACCCTGTTGCAACTGTTTGTTTCCTTTCATAAAGATCAGGCTTACTAGCCGCTTTGCTTCTCAATATACTCTGGTTGGCCTCTGTTTTCTCCTACCAATAAGGAACCCATTTAAGGACTCTATACGGGCTCCGGAATACCCCATAAGGGAAAGGGAGCAGATTTTTTTTTCTTATAACACATTAAAACCACTTTGTTCTTACTCAGAAGTCCCACTTGAGTTCAAAGAGATATAGGATCGTAATATTACAGTTGTAGATCTACCTGGGGTAGACCCATTGAAATCAATAGGCATGACTAAATGAGGTCCTTGCTATTTTCAATGGGTTTACTGTGAGCAGGACTTAGTGGGAGAGCCACTGCCAAGTGCAGACAGTTCTGAGCTAGATGGACTAACAGTCTGACTAGGAGTCAACTGACTTTCCATGTTCCAGAATGGTTGTGGGAGAAACCACAACAAAAGTGCTCACATCCCACTCCACCTAGCAGATGAAAACCGCCCCTTCTAGACCTTTGGCTCTATTAAATCTTTGAGCAAATCTCTGCATTTTCAGAGCAAGGTTGCGGGAGACACTTTTCCTTGGAAATAACCTCACATTTCAGTTGTGTTGTGTTGCATTCCAGCAGGTCAAGTAGTTAATAATAATAATAATAATAATAATAATAATAATAATAATAATAATGCTGCAATATTTCCTCCTGTTTGCAGATCATCTGGAAAGGAGAGGAAGGGGCACTGTCAACAAGAAATTCCAATGTCTCCATCCATTTTGCATGCCCTTGCAAGACCACGTGGGGTTTGCTTTGATTGAAAGGCAGGAGCGGAAGGGAGAGGGAGGCAGAATAGAACATAGCAACTGATGCACTTTCCATTGAGCACAGCTTGTGTGTGAAAAGTGCACACAGGGGTGTCCGAAGAGCAGACAGCTGATTGCAAATCACAATTGCGTTCCAAAACTCTTTATTGGGTTAGTGAAGGATCGCAGGGAATATTGGAAGACACACAGTGACATCCCACGTTGCATTGTGCAGAATTTCCCAGCAGAACGCAACCCCTGCAAGGGTTCCTTGCATACATGACACAAACTTAAAGCCCCCCCCCCAAAAAAAAACACCTTGGGATGAATCTTTAGGAGTATAGATTGTGAAAGATGTTAGGAATTGCAGCTCAGGGAGGGGTAGACTACTGATCACAGGTCACTCGCTCCCTCTCAGCTTCCTCGCAGGGTTGTAGTGACAATAAAATGGCAGAGAGAATACTGTGTTATTGAGTTATGATGTGCGTTTATGTTTATGAATACGTGTTTGTCTTCAACCCTATGCCCACAAGAAGTTCTTGAGATGAGCAGAAGAACAATAGGATCTAAATGTCATAGCATGTACAGTTGACAGGTAGCAGCTCTCCAAAGTTTCATATACGTAGGGGATATTCCCAGCTCCTCTAAAAGATGCTGGGGATTGAGACTGGGGCCTTCTGCATGCAGAGCAGCTGCTCTACCGTTGAGTTGTGGCTTTTCCTCTAAAAGTTAAGTAAGGTCACATCCGCACAACACACATTTGAAGCACCCTTATACCACTCTAGCGGTTTGTAAACAGTATCAAGAGTGGTTAGAATATCTCTTGCAGAACTATAGTTCCTGGCACCCTTAACAAGAAAGAAAAGTCACAAGTCAGGGATGAGCAGCCAAAGGATGGAGGGCTGAGGAGCAGCCCAGAAGACTGTAAGACTGTAGCACCCTTATCTGTGTCCCCCCCTTTTTTTCTTTTGCTGGGGGGTACTGGCTGAATTTACAACTGGCTAAGAACCAAAGGGACGCAGGTGGTCTGTGGGTTAAACCACAGAGCCTAGGACATGCTGATCAAAAGGTCGGCGGTTTGAATCCCCGCGACGGGGTGAGCTCCCGTTGCTCAGTCCCAGCTCCTGCCCGCCTAGCA